AAAGCTGGGAATTGATGTAAGAATTTTCTTGCAGGTTATGGCAGGTGATAATCACATGCTTCTGTAGTGTAGAGTTGACTACCTCTCCAACTGCTGATAAAAGAGATTTGGGAATGCTTCTGCCTGTTTCTAGACTTGTTTTTTTTTCCTTACACTGTCTCCTTGTAACATCCAATTGCAGGGAAAAAAACCGCAGAGAATAATTTTTTTTTTGGTCCCAGTCACAAATTTGCATCTTTGCCTGAGTCCCCGATTTCCTCCTCATTCACAGCTGTATTTTTTCCTCTTTTTTTCCTTCCAAACCCATAACATGCTTGTTTTGTTTCCCAGATTCCTTTCTTCAGGAGCTGTTTTCCCTCTCTCTGACCCTCCTTGGCTCTTGGCTGCCTTCCTCCACAGTGCCATCCTACAGCAGTCACCACGTGGACGAGGAAGAGAGGCACTGGAGAGGCTGGGGACTGATGCAGAGCAGGCAAGGCTAGGTGCATTTTATTATGCACTATTATGTATTATTTTATGCTCTTTTTTTATGCTCTTCTCAACACCCAAAACCTAGAAATAGGTGGTCTTTAACTGAGAAAAGTTGTCCTGAGATAGTGCTGTATCCCTGGTAATCCCTGTTGGGAAATCTTGCCGTGGCTAATTGATGAAAGCTAACTGAAATTACCAGTTGGTAAACTCTTATCCTAAAGGCAAAGTTGTGCAAAGCTTAAACTTTTAACTCAGACTCTGGCTTCTCTGAAGTCAGGAAGGGCTATTTAACAATGGCATTAAAAACTGAAGCTGGAGAGAGCCCTGCAGAGGCTGAGAGCTTGATCCATGCTGTGCCAGGATCCCTGTCCCTCCAACAACAGAGCAGTCCCTGTGGATTTTAGCTCAGGCAACTTGGCTGGAAGGTTAAGGAGACACAACAGGAAGTTTGTGAGACAGCAATGCAGGCATTTTAAGGGCTCTAGGAAGTCGTGCTGGGAATCCCAGAGACAGATTTCCTGAGGGTCCAGGAAATGCCTTTGCCTTTCACCATGCTCAGTACCCTCAGTGCAGGGGAATTTGCTGAAGGGCTCTGCTGAGAAGGAAGCTGGTCTGCTGCCAGGCAGTCCTGTCTGTTGATCTTCCAGGAAAAAGTCGGGGTTAGGGCACAGTCCCTGTGTCAAGAGGTTCACAGGTAACAGTGCTGAAACAGAACCTGGGCCTCATGTTTACTCTGGAGGTTTTTTGCTCCAGGCAGCAGTTACAAGCAGCAGCTTCTCTTCCTGTGGGATTGAGTCCTCCACTGTTTGTACTGGTCTGGAGCCAGAAATTGTTGTCATTGAGCTGATATCAGCATTTAGTACACAGACTTAACAGCAGCTTTCACCCCCAAAATCCTGGAAGGTGCCAGGGAGAGTGAGAACTGTGGGATGGCTGAGTGTAAGTGGGGTCCCAGAGGGTCAAACACACTGTGCTTATAGGTCCACCCAGGTCCAGTCTGGGAATATATCTGGTGAAATGTTATTCCCTGCTTGGAAAGGCCAAGTTCAAGTCACCACTGCAGGTACAACTAACGTGCACCTCCTTTCCTTGCAGGTCCTTGTTTCCCTGCTGTTCTTCTCGCTCCTGGATCTCATCTCAGCCAAAATAGCACCAAAGGTAAGTTCAGCCCTGAGGGAATTCCCATGATGTGTCTGATCAGCTTGGTTTGCTGCCCAAAAATGCTTTGTACCAGCACTGGGAGGGCTGGGAGCTTGTTCTACTAGGAGGAAGGGATCAGTAACACCCTAGACAAGCCTGCTGAAAGCCCTTCTGTGCCCATCAGATTAAACCTGTGTTTTCCTCTCACTGACACTATCTCCCTTTTCACTAATTTTATTTCTCTTCCTGAATGATTTACTATTTGCAGTTTCCTGTTCAGACCTTACACCTCCCAGGTAGCGCAGGAACCTCATCTCTCTCTCTCAGCGTTTATGCAGCATTTCACATCTGTCAGATGATGTTTTTCCTCAGGCTGGAAGGGGTCCCCAGCAAAGACGAACATTAGTTTCCAAATGATTTAATGCTATTAAGTGGAGGAGCAAAGATGACAGGCTGCTTCCAGCTGCTGTCTGCCCTGAGCATCCTCCTGCCTGTGAGGGCTTGTTTCTGTCCCTTTGCTGTCACCTCAGCTTTGAAGTGCAGCCATTTGTGGAGTCGCCTCACAGATTGGATCATGAAGCAGATTTAAGGCAAAAATAACCATTTGGTCTCAGTCTGCCTGTGGGAGAGTCTGGAGGAAGAGCCAGGGAGGAGAGAAAGATCTTGAGCAGACAGAGCTCGGAAGTTAATCCAAGTAAAATGAGTAATGATAAAAAAAAAAAAAAACCACAATACTTTCAAGACATGTTTTCACTAGAAAACTTAGAGGGGACAAAACCTGCTCCATGGAGCTTGTGGGGTGGGAGCAGGATGTGGATTGTTGATTGATCCAGGTTGGATGGGACTTGGAGCCACCTGGTCTAGTGGAAGGTATCCTTGCAGATGGCAGGGGGCTGGAACTGGATGATATTTGAGGTCCCTTCCAACCTAAACCATTCCATGATGCTGCTTCCCCCTCTCTCTCAAATCCTTCTTAGCTGAGCCCTGTGGTGGCCTGGTTTGGTGATAGAGACACTGCCTTGCTCCAATGCCCGATTCCCTGGGGGAATCCAGGTTGCCAGGCAAGGGGAATGACTTGGGCTACATATTTGATGTCCTTTAACAGAGCACTTCATGTACAGTCTTGTGAAGGTTCCTTTCTGCTTTGATGCAACTAAGCCCAAGACAAATGACTTCTCCTTTCTGACACCTAGGAAGGAGTGGATTTTCAGACGTCTCTGGAATGGTCCCTGGAGATCTTGCAGTGCCTAGAAGAGAGAGGCACATCCTGGCCACTTCTCTTCCATTCAGCAGAGCGAGGTGAGTCCTGTCCCCGTGTGGTGGAAGGGTGAGGTTTGGTGCTGGCCAGGTGAGCCCATTGCTTGGGTTAGAGTGTAGCTGTGAGAGGAAGCAGCACAAAAAAAATACTTGAGTAAAAGCTAAGAACAGAATTCTGTTTCTACCCCGCTGTATGGAGACCCAGCTGATGATCAGGAATGACTGAACTTGGTTTTGTTCCTCCTCGTAGAGAAAACCTGAGGGGACAGCTTGTTTCTCTTGCTGGTCACCACCCCCAAGCACCAGTATTTATTGTGGGCTGAAAGGAAATGGTGCAGCCCCTGTGCTGCTCTAGAAGTATGGAAGGTGAGGCCCACTGAAGGTGCTCGGTGCCTCTCTCTGTCCTTCCAGACTCTGGGAAATATCGTGTCCTGCACGACGCGGCCTCAGACGGTCACATCCGCCTCCTGCCCATGGCATTCTACAGGTAAAGTCCTGCTGGGGTGGGCAGGGGGTGTGAGGGAGGATGTGGGGGATGGTTTGCGCCTACAGGAGCTGGCATGGAGGTGACAGCACTACTGGCCTGCAGGTGAGCACGTATTTACCTCTTACCTGAGCTGTGCAGCAGAGAACACCCGATCAGGGCAAGACTGGTGTTTCATGAGCCCCATATCTTTTGCTAAAGAACTTTTCCAGAAGTTTCCCTTCAGCCTTGTGCTCCAAACAGGGATGTCCTGGTTGCCTTCTCTTCCTGGGGTGGCCCTGCACACAATGGGACTTGTAAACCAGGCACGGGCAGGGCAGCAGCTGTGTTTGCCTTGTGTGTCTCTCAAGGAGGCAGAGCTAACAGAGCTTGTGTGTGACTCCTCCAGCCTCACCCCTCGCTTCCCCCGGGAGCTGCTCCGGCGGGAGCCAACCTTCCTTCTTGTGGCACTTGACTTGTACATCCAGCTGCTCCGGCTCTTTGTGGAAGGGGAGGTCCTGCCACAGTCTGATCAAAACCCCACAGAGCACGTGAGTGAAGCCCTGACTCCTTTCTTTTCCTTCTAATACAGAATCCTGGAATAGTTTGGGTGGGAAGGGACCTCAAAGCCCATCTTGTTGCACCCCCTTCCAGGGGCAGGGACACCTTCCACTATCCCAGGTTGATCTAAGCCCTGTCCAACCTGGCCTTGAACACTTCCACAGCTTCTCTGGGCAACCTGTGCCAGGGCCTCACCACCCTTACAGGGAAGAGTTTCTTCTTAATACCCAATCTAAATCTACCCTTTTTCACCTTAAAACCTCCTGTAACTGATTCTATTCTTTAGTCCTCTCCTGTCGTGCAGGATCCCTTGGAGGTGATCTCGGTGGCCCGGCGGTTCCTGATGGGAGCCATCCCACAGTGCCTTGCCCAGAGCTTTGGAAATATACAGCTGGTATGTTCAGATGTTTTCCCTTTTCTCCCAGTGTGTGGGAGCCAGGAGTGCTGCTGCTGCTGCCTGTGCAGCCTTCTTGGGGCACTGATCCTGCACTGGTGCTGCGGGTTTGACTGTGCCAAGCTCCACGCTTCCCTGACACCCCTGGGAGTGTTCCGTGCTTCCCTAGCTTGCTTGGGTGTGGGAGGACACCTGCTGCTGAGCCGGTGCCATGGCCACATCCTCCACCGTTACCGGCCCATCAAATCCTGCCCTCATGTGGCCATTCCCGTTTGGTCAGAGGGAAATATCAAACATAGCTAAGGGCAGGTGCTGGAAGATTCCCCCTCCTCTGCCTGTGCTTGGCCGAGGCAGCAAAACGCTGAGGTGTTACTCAAACTACCTTGAGGAAACCCAAGGAGGTCTAAACTAGTTCCTTGCTCTCTCCTCAGCTTCTGACCACCTGTGAGGAACTTGACCCAGAGCTGGGAGCCACCCTCCTGCACTTCTCCAGGCCTGCTGTGGCTATGGAGCTGGAGGAAGACCTGGAACTGTTCTGAGCAAGGGGCAGATACTGGCACAGCACAAAACGCCAACCACACCTGTCAGGGCACACAAGGTGCCACCTTTCTTACCTCGGCCACCTTTTTTTTTTTCAAATTACTTTGTAAATAATTTATTACAAGCATAACCATGAAGCTCTTGTTACAATAAAAAGTAGGTTACAAATTTCAGTTTAGACTTGCTTTGGGAATCATAATTATGTTGGTTTTTTTGTTTTTTGTTTTTTTTTTCCAAACCAAAATGTCTGCTTAAAGTTGTCCCACTGTCCTCTGTCCCCCTCGAGGCCCCAAAGGCACCTCTGTGCAGGCAGGGAACAGTTGTGACCAACTTGGTTTCTATGTGTGCGTGGGGACAGAGACACGAAGGGGGTGCTGCCAACGTCCCTTCCCCTGGGATTAGACACTCTTAGTACAACACTGCTGAATCAGACGTGAGCATGGAAATCACTGCATGAGAACAAGCCTTTTCTGAGCAAGCTGAAGCTAATTCCATGGAGTTCTTTGGGAGACTAAAACGTAGATTTAAAATCTCCACTCTGCCGTACTGTTTCTATGGGGCTGGGAATGGAGCCCCGTCCCCCTCAGGTGGGTTCCTGCTGCACAGTCACTTCTGGCTTCACCACCTGGCTCTCCGGAGTCCCTGAAGTAGTGAGGAGGAGGATGGGCTCTGGCTCCAGTGGCTTGGCTTTGTCCTGAGTCTGGGTCAGAGGGTGCACCATGGACATGTGGACGTTAAGGTTGTGGGCCTTCTCGAAGCGCTTCCCGCACTGGTCACAGGCGAACTCCAGTTCCGCCTCAGCCTTGTGTTTGGTCATGTGGTACTTGAGGGATGCACGCTGGCGGCACTGGAACCCACAGATCTCACACCTGCAGGGCAAAAGGGGGCTCAGCACCCAGCCTGACCCTGCCTCACTCAGCCAGGGAGATTTCTGGAGCTGGAGCAGGTGTTGGGGATGGACATTTTGCTGAATCACAGAATCCTGGAACAGTTTGTGTGGGAAAGGACCTTAAAGCTCATCTCGGCCCACCCCCTGCCATGGGCAGGGACACCTTCCACTAAACCAGGTTGCTCCAAGCCCCATCCAGCCTGGCCTTGAACACTTCCAGGAATGGGGCAGCCACAGCTTCTCTGGGCAACCTGTGCCAGGGCCTTTAGCCCTCCCAGACCAGAATTTCTCCTCTGGCAGGGGGAAGGCATTTCTCCTTGTCCTGTTCCTCCAGACCCTTGTTCCAAGTCCCTCTCTAGCTCTCTTGGAGCCCCTTTTGGCACTGGAAGGGGCTCTAAGTTCTCTCTGGAGCCCTCTCTTCTCCAGGCCAAACACCCCCAGCTCTCTCAGCCTTTCCTCATAGGAGAGGTGTTTCATCCCTCTCCTCATTTATTCCATTTAAAGCAATCAAGCCAGGATGCTGCCAGCTACAAGCAGTGTTTGTACCCCAGAATTCCTGTGCCAGGGTCAGTGACTGATTCCTCTGATCCCCTTGCTGTGGGGGGAGGGCTGGAATCACTTACTGCAGGGGCTTCGCTCCCGAGTGCCGCATCTGATGGACCGAGAGGTGTTTGCGTTGTTTGAAGGTCTGCCCACACTCATCACAGATATAGTTCCGTACCTCTGCAAGGGGAACAGGAGAGTCATGGAATCTGCCAGTTCCTGGAACACGCACCGCACACGCAGCTGCCCACACTCCCTGCTGGAGTCTGACTTCCTCCCCTGCCTTGCATCCCCCGCGTGAGGGGCTGTTCCAGGTTTACAGGCAGTCCTGCCCCCCTCCCAGCGGCCTCCCACGGCAACTCTAATCCTTGTGCCAAGAGGCATAGGGTATTTGTGCCCTATCCCCTGCTGGGACATACCTGTGTGTATGAGCTTGACGTGCCGCTGGAGGTACCTGTCGATCATGAACACCTTGTTGCAGCCTGGGTGAGGACAGGGCCTCTCCCGCACCTCTTCATGGTGCTCCTTGATGTGTTTCTGGAAAGCAAGGACAGAGCTGCTGACAGGGAAAAGCTTGGATCCCCAGAAACAGAGACCACTATGTGAAAAAACAGGATCTGCATCCCAATCTACCCCTGGCAGCACGGGCTTTACCACAGTGGAATCTGTTCCAAGAGCTGCTGTGAGCCAATGGCAGCCTCCAGGACAGGAGGAGCAGGGAGAGGCAGAGCAGACTGGAAGAGGCTGGGATTCCCAGCCAGTTGCTTTTAGGAGCTTATTGCCTCCCACAGAGCAAGGCAGGGAATTAAACCCATAGTACTGGAAGCTACTGGTTTGGGATGGGAGCAGACCCCAGCTCACCTTCATGCCATCAGCCCCTCTGTAGACAGCGGTGCAGCCCTGGTAAGGACACTTGTAGATGGTGGGCAGCTCCTCCCTGGAAGCAGAGCTGTGTGAGGCAGTGCAGGCATGGGGTTGGGGCCCCGCCTCCCAGAGCCTCCTTACCGTTCACATTTGATTTTTTTCTTCCAGCCTGGCTTAGGCCCTGGTTTCTTCCTTATTTTGGGTTCTTCCACTTTCTTTGTTTCTTTGCTGTCACTCTTCTTGCCAGAAACCCTCCAAAAAGGAACCAGGACAGTGGTTTAAGACTTGATCTTCCCACCCAAGTGTCCCCAAGCACTACACTTGGGTTGATGCTTAACCTGGCAAAGCAGGAGCACATACAGCCCCGGGTACACAACCCAGGTGATGGCTGTGCTGGGCGTGGGGATCAGGGATGTGGCCCAGCTTCAGCCTGATGTGGGGCTCGGGGGCACCACTGTGACCCCACGGGAATGTGTAGGGAACAAAGCCATAAGGAACAATGTGCTGGCCCTGCAGGGCTGAGCACCAGCCCCTCCCCCCACCAAGAGCCCCTTACTTCTTGTCGGGGTAAGGCTCGAAGGAGTCATCTGAGGATTGCACGTTTCTCTTCTCACTTTCATCATCACTCAGGAAGTCCCTGAGAGAGAAGACACCCTTTACCCACACAGCACCTGGATGGCCCTTGGGCACCAGTAATTCCCTGTTTCCAGCACATCCATCCCCACCACAGGGCACAGCAGCCACTCTGTGTCCTCCTCCCCGGCCTCTCCCCAAGAGAGCAAAGACCCAAAACAGGTCCTTTTAGGGCTAAATCTCTGCAAGAATAACCGAACCACTGTCAGGAGAACAAAAAAACGGCTGTTACTGAAAGGATCTATTCATGAGTGAGGGATGTGGCTCCACTTCCTCTACTGGGAGAAGGAATTTTGTGAAGCAAGAATGTCACATAATTGTCTGGCACAGGTTAATGAAGCTGCGGGTCATTCCATGTTCCCTCAAATGTAGCAGCCACGTGGGTTTGGGTTTTTCTTTTTATGTCTTAAGCCATGGGAAAAGCAATTAATTCCCAAAGCCAGGAAACAGGCAATAAATTGTTGTGGCACTTCCAATGTGACAGCTGATAGTTCAGCTGACACTGGAATCACTCTGCACTTGGCCCTTTGGAACGCCTGGATTGGTGTATTTACAGCCCCACTCCAAATACTTGCGTTGGAAGGATTGAGCCAAATCTTTGCTCACACGGACTGTGGAGCTGCCAAGCTCCCTCCCGCTCCCACTTCCCAGTTAATCACTCTCCCCGGGAGCAAACGGGCGGTTTCTCCACGTGCCACCCCGTGCCTGCATTCCAGCTCCCACTGCTCTCCCGCAGCCCCAGCCATGATGGGAACCGCTCCGAGGCTGAGGGGCTGGAGCAGCAGCACCCAGACCAGGGGAGCCCCCAGCACGGCTCCTTCTCCAGAGCAGAGAGGGGATGAAACAGGGCCAGGACTGCTGGAAGCAGCTACCAAACACAGAGCACACGTGTGTGCAAACCCCTGCCAGCAGAGGAGGGGAGCTTGGAGCCTCAGAGCCAGGAGCTCCCTGGTGGCCACAGCAGAGCCACCACTCCAGCACTGGTTCTGAGGGGCTGCCAGGGCTGGGGGGCTGGTGGAGAAAGAGCTCTGCGAGTTGGGGCAGTTCACACTGGCAAAGAAGACATTTAGGCTATTTTAAACCCACTCTTCTCTCACCCCTCAGAAAGGTCACTGAACTCGTCTTTTACCCGCTCATCCGACGTTGCAGACAGAACCTGCTTCCCACTCAACTGTCCTAGGGAATGAAGGAGAACACGGTGAGTTACAAGGAAAAGCAGCAGAGCCACGGCTGCCGAGGAGGAACTGAATGCTCTTGGGTGTGCTCGGTGTAGTCACACCATGGCTCCGTGACAAATCAATGTGCTCCGTGACAAGTCAACGATTGTTTAAACCAGATTGTCCGTGTGCTCAGAGACAGCTCTCCCTGCGCTCTGGGACAGGACAGCCTTGGCCCTGCAGCTCCCAGGAGCAGCTTTTGGTTCCTCCCGTGACACCCATAACTGAAAGACTTATCCCCAAGCAAATCCCAGCTGCCATTCCTGTGTCCAGCGGCAGACATCTCTTGTGGATGCCGGAGCTAAACACAGACCCACTTCTGGAACTCAAAGTAAGTGTTAATTCCTCACTTATGAAAATGGCATTTGGGGCAGTTCAGCAGCAAACCCATGTTTACTCAGTCCAAACCCACTCAGCAAGTTTCCTTTGGGGACAGAAGGGGCTCCTGGGGTTTAACAGAAAGAAACGTCTGGTAAAGGCGGTGCTGGAGAACCAGCGACTGCTCCACATTGTGTCCCCGGGAAGAGCATGGCAGCAGAGTGCAGCCCCTCCATCAGAGCAGGAGCAGCACATATGGAGAGGAGTATGACTCTGTGTTACCCTCTCCCTTCTGCAAGGCTCAGCCTACCCATCCCCAGCTGGAGCCAATTCTCCAGGCAGTCAGCACTTCCCAGATCAATCTGCATCCTCCTTGAGCAGCAGCAGACGCCAAGAAGGGGGTCAACCCCCCATTGCTCCCTGGGCCACCTCTCCAGCTCCCTGCCCTTCCCCAGAAGGGAGATCAGGAGGCAAATCCCTTACCTGTGGCAGTGCTCAGCGGGGACACGGGCTGTGGCAAGGCCTGCTCCTGCACTGAGGTCGTGCTGTCCAGCTCCGAGTGAGACAGGTCCCTGTCCTGCGGCGCCTCGTCCTCCACGTCCAGTGGCACTGCCGTGGTCCCTTTGTTTGCGGGCTGCTGGCAAGGAGCTGTCCTTACTGGAGCATGCTGGGCTTTGGGAGCAGGAACAACCTCGGCATTGTCTGCCCCAGCGCCGTTGTCAGTCAAGTGCTGCTGTGCCGTGCCCTTGCTCCACTCGCGTTTGACAGCCAGGGCGGTGTCCACCAGCACGGTGCTGCAGTCCGAGGCCGTGTCCATGATGTAGTCGTGGCCATCCCCGCAGCCCCACACGGCGCGGATGATGCCGCAGTACTCGGAGGACAGGACGCTGCGCAGGCCGGGCACCGAGGGGCAGCTCCCGGCATGGGCGTGTGCCCACGTCACCAGGCTGTGCAGGCACTGCGGGCTGGACGTGATCAGGTCAACTGTGCAGGGCAGAGGCAGCACAGTCAGGCCTGGGGACAGCGATGGGCAGGAGGGGACACGGAAGGGACAGGAATGTGGAGCTGTTCCCCCCGGGGCTGCCCCAGAAGGCAGGTGGGAGCCACCCTAAGGGGCTGCACTCAGGTGGGCTGGAGCGGGGCAGCCCCAGCACCTGCCAGGATCAATCAGGTTGGAAAAGACCTCTGAGATCATTGAGTCCAACCTGTGACCCATCACCACCTTGTCAACCAGAACAGAGCACTGAGTGCCATGTTCAGTCTTTCCTTAAAACACCTGAAGAGATGGTGACTCCACCACCTCCCTCCATCATTCACTTCACAGCTGAAAGTACATTTCTGATTGTCCCCAGTGTCCAACAGTGGCTGAGACAGGCCTGGCACTGCCACCCAAACCCGCTCCACATGCTCTTTGTACCCCCATGTGAGCTTCTGCCTGTTTGGCTCAGCTTGGGAAGGTGAGGATCCTCCCAGGAGGCCAGAGGGAGGAAGGGGAACCATAACTAGCTGTGTCCAGGGACACCAGAACTACCCTGCACATGGTCATTCCCCACCATCCATCAACCCCAGCTGGAGGCATGGTAGAAGAAAAAGGGGAGCAGCTCCAGGAGTGGGCACTCACCCAGGCAGGAGGCACCTCCTTCCATGCCCGGCTGTGCCGGGGCCGCGCTGCTCCTGCAAAGACCAGAGCGGCACAGTGGGGTTGGGGGGTCACGGAGGGACCACGCGGCACAACGTGGCACCACGCAGCACCGCGCTGCTCCCGGGACGGGAGAAAGGCCACCTACTTTCCTTTGGACCTGGCGTGGCCCGTGGGCGAGGCGTTCACCCTCTGGATGAAGGTGCGGAGGACGCTGCGGCACTTGTAGAACTGGGCATGGCATTTCTTGCAGACGAACTGCGGCAGCGCCGGGTCCTGCCGCACCGCCACCCCCACCAGCCGCTGGAAGTCAGTGAAGAACACCTGGTCCACGCGCCGCTGCTTCTCCGAGTTCTCCCCCACCACGGGCACCTTCCCGAAGGCATTGCGCAGGCTCCTGGAGGAGAACTTCCCGTGGCACAGGCGACAGTACCCGGTGCTCAGGGCTCTGCTAATTCCTGCCAAGAGGGACCGAACTGCTGGGGGACAGCACCGACACGCGTGGGATGTTCCCCTTCTCCTCCTCCTGCTGCTTCCAAAGCCCTGCCTTCAGCAAAACATGGAAAATCCAAGCAGGAAGAGAGCTCCCTTCCCCCTGACCTTTCCCACACCAGCTGACCCAAAATCAGCCTTTCTGGCCCCAGTGTCCCAGTAGAGGAGCCTCCTCCTCACTGTGGTGTTCCTGGGGCTCTGCCAATGCCATCCCTCTCGTTTTCAGCAGTTCTTCCCCTTTCCCGGTGTTTATCTCCCAAATATTTACAGCCAGTGTATTGTCCCTCAGCCGTCCCAGCACTGGCTGTTCTGTTCCTCAGTCCCCCTGTAGTGCCCTGGAGCCGGGGACATGCAGCTCCTGACCCACAGCAGCGGGGCAGGATGCAAAGTGTCTTCCAGTGCAGTGACCTGTGGAATACTCTCCATCCCTCTGCTGCACCCTGACTGTCTACCAGCATAAGTAAAAACCCCGGCACAGCCTCCTCCCGGCCCTGATCCAACCCAGACAGCCAACGGAGCCGTTAGAGATCCCGGTTATCTCCTGCTCCAGCCGCAATGTGCCCGGATATCGGCCATCCACAAACCGGGGTGGCGGGAGGGTCCCGGTCACCCCCAAACCCCAAACCGGGATGGCGGGAGAGTCCCGGTCTCCCCTAAACGGGGATGGCAGGAGGGTCCCGGGTGCCCCCGCACCAGAGCAGGCAGCGGCCGAGTCCCCCAGGATGGCGGGGAGTTCCCCCGCTCGCCCTCCCCGTGTGCCGAACCCCTCCTTACCTCGCCGTTAGCGGCACTGGCACCCTCGGTGCTTTACAAGAGAAGAAATTCCGCACGGACGGGCAAATTCAGCACCGCGCCCCGGGGCCGGGGGTCTGCCCCAGCGGTGCGGGGGCAGCCCCGCCACACCGAGGGCTCGCCCGTGCCCGGCCCCCGCGGCCCCCGCAGCCCGCCCCGGTGCGCAGCCGGTTCCGCCGGAGCCCCCGCAGCGGCTCTGGCCCCGGGACAGCGGCCCCGGCCGTGCCCCGCTCCCCCCACCCCGCTCCCCGCGCCCGGGCCTCACCTGCCTCCGGGGCGCAGGCGGCGGCCGCGGGGGGCTCGGAGGGCGCGGCGGGCTCGGCGGCGCGGGCGGCGGTGCCGGGGGCGCGGCGGGGAGCGGGGGGGGCCCGGGGGCTGCCCGGGGCCGCCAGGAACCGCCCGCGCCGATCGCGCTTCATCGTCCCCGCCGGGCCCGGGGCTCCGCCCGCCCGCAGCGCCCCCGCCGGACGGGGGGACCCGCCGCGCGGTCCGTCCCGCCGCGCTCCGGGCGCGCCCGCGGCCCCAGCGCGCCGTTCCGGGCGGCCCCGCGGCCATGGCCGCGCCGGGGGGCGGTGAGGGACCCGCGCCGGGCCGGGGAGGCCGCGGGCTGCAGGGAGCCATGAGGGCGGCCAGCGGGGCCCTGGGCATGGACAGCGCCGGGCGGACACGGGTGAGCGCGGGGACGGGCGGGGAGGGACCCCCGGGCTCGGCTGCACCCCCGGGGCTGTGCCCCCGGCATCCCCCCGCAGCTCCGGGAGTCATCCCCGGCCTCACCACCCACCCCTCGGGCTCACCCGCACCCCGCGGCTCCTCCTGCACCCCCGGACTCCCCACGCATCCTTGGAGCTGCATCCCCAGTCTCCCCCCACATCCCCGGTCTCGCCCTGCATCCCCGGGGTTCACCCCTGTGCTTCTCTCGCATCCCCGGTATGTCCCCGCATCCGCGGGCTTCTCCCTCATCCTCGGGCTCCCCCAGCCTCCCGCTTGACCCCCCTGGCCCTGGGGTCCCCCCGAGACCATGGGGTGCCCCGATTTCCCCCCACCCCCGGACAGGCTGCGGGGTCTGGGGGTCCCTGTGCTGCCCCCCCCGCCCCTCCCGGAGCCCCGACACCCCCGGGGAGGACCCGATCCGGATGGTGAGGGTCTCACGGGTGCCCCCCCGGACACCTCCCTGCTGCCAGCAGGGCCGGGGGTCCAGGGCGTGTCCCGGGGTGGTCCTGGACGTTCCAGCTGAGCCCCCACTTTGTAGGAGGCCTACATGGAGTACCTGAAGAGCATCACCCTCATCATGCAGGCCCTGCAGGAGGAGGCAGTGGGGACAGGTAGGGCAGGGCCCCTTGCCCCCCCAGCCCTCTTGCGAACCAGGGGGAGTGAGTGGGTGGGACCCCAACACTCCCCTCCCCACAGAGAGCAGTGAGGGGGTCACACCCGACACCCCGAAGCTGCTGAAGCTGGCGGAGCAGTGCCTGGAGAGGGTCAAATCCATTGCAGCAGTGCTGGGTGAGTGATGGGGGGGAGAGGGTCCCATTTTGGGGAGCTGGGTCTCCCCCAGGACAGGGGCACAGCTGACCTGTCCTGTCCCCCTCCCCAGGGAAAGCCCAGGTGAAACCGGCTGTGCAGGAACGGGGAGGGGGCCCTGCCCCCCTGCCCAGGCACCGCAGGGTCTGCTCGGATGAGGGGGGGAAGCTCTCGCCCTTCCTGCCCCCGGAGATCTTCCAGAAGCTTCAGATTGCGGAGGCACAGAGCGCTCGGAAGTACGGGGGGGTGGCATGAGGGAGTGGTGTGGGCTGGGACATGGGGTGGGACACGGGGGGCTCAGACACGGGGGACTGTGACAGGAGGTGTTGGGATGGGACACGGGGGGCTCAGACACAGGGGACTGTGACGGGGTGTTGGTACACAGGGTGGGACATGGGGAGCTGGCATGGGCTGGGACGCAAGGACTGGTGACTCCTTACACATGCCTGGGGGGCCACGAGTTGGGTTGGAACCCTGATGTGTCCCATGCCCTGTGGTGGGTGCTGAGGCCATTCCTACAGGGAGCTGACCCCGCTGGAAGAGGCCTCTCTGCAGAACCAGAAGCTGAAGGCGGCCTATGAGGCACGGGTGGCACGGCTGAACCCCAGCCAGGCCCTGCAGAAAACATCCCTGGCAAGTTGGGGGCTGGGGAGGAGCTGGGAGAGGATTGAGCCAGACAGAGCCGGCAGGGAGAGTGTCCCTGCAGTGCCTGGAGGACCCCCTGCTCCCCTCTGTGGGAGGCGGAGGGGGGAATTGTTCCCAATACTCTTCCTGCTTCACAGACACTGTCCCTACAGCGGCAGATGATGGAGAATCTGGTGATTGCCAAGGCCCGGGAGGAGACTGTATCCTTCCCAGGGGGATTGCTCCAAGGGCTGGCTCTGGCAGAGCCTTTGCCCTGTCCTGGATGTCACCAATCCCTCACAGGCCTTTCGGGTCCCAGGTGGGGGTATGGAGTGGGGAGAAGGGCTGATCCAGCCCCCAGGTTTTCAGTGCGGGGGCTCCAGACCCTTAACTGAGCCGTGGCTCAGCTGCAGCGCAAGATGGAGGAGCGGCGGCTGCGGCTGCAGGAGGCGGCAAACCGGTGAGTGGGGGCGTCACCATGGGGACCCCAGGGCCAGGGACACCCCAGCAGTGCCCTCATTAGCCCGGGGTGTCCCAGGAGGTTCTCCAGCAACGTGGCCCTCACCCCTGAGGAGCAGGAGCAGCGAGAGCTCTACGCCGCCATCCTTGAGTACGAGCAGGACCACGTGAGTGTGTGCTGGGGGCTGCTGAAAGGGGGCAGGGGGCTGTGCCAGGGGGCAGGGAACTGTGCCATGGTGCAGGAGACCTTGCCATCCCCATAACCAGCCATGGACGCTCCCCAGGACTGGCCCAGGCAGTGGAAGGCCCAGCTGAAGCGGAGCCCAGCGGATCTCTCTGTGGTGTCAGGGCTCTTCTCCTGCCTCCTCAGGTACTGCGGGGGTGGGTAGGGCCCTACCCAGAGTGGGGGAGTCCATGGCCATGTGCCCGTGGCTCCCACCCACCATGCCCCTCTCCCTGCAGCTCCCCCGAGCACCCGATCTCACAGCTCCTGCGGCAGCTGCAGTGCACAGTGTACACCCGCCTGTACCCTGCCATCAGCCAGGGCCCTGCTGACGGCTCCCCTGCCTCCCCCTCAGGCCTCTCCTTCCTGTCGCTGGACATGGGGGGTGCGGGGGGCTCCTCCCTGCCCGCCGAGTCAGGGGGTCGCCGGCTCCGCGCCTCGCGCAGCCTGCACTGCATGTTCTCGGTGCCCGAGCATGGCCCCGCTGCGCTGCGGCACAGCCATTCCAGCAACCCCCTCGCTGATGGTGGTGCCCCAGGGCCCGTGGGGCCCCCCCAGACCCCCCGGGAGAGCTCCTTTGAGGACCTGGAGCGGTTCCTGGCATCCCCTGAGGGCTGGGCCCCCGCAGAGCCCTCGGCTGGCCCTGGGCAGGACACGGCACTGCCAGAGCTGCTGAAGGGCATCGTGAGGGACATCCACAATGCCATTGGTGAGGCATGGCCGAGGGAGCGGGGGCAGGATGGGGGCTGTCCGTGGGCTCTCCTGCACCCTGTTTTGACTCGGGGTGCAGGGTGGGCAGAGGAGTACAAGTGTGCTGCGTGACTTGCCTTCCCCAGACAGGCTGCTGGCCCTGACCCTGCTGGCCTTTGAGGGGCTTGGCACCGCCGCTGGCAAGGATCAATGCCTGGCCTGCCTGGAGGAGGCCTTCTTCCCCCCGCTCTGGGCCCCGCTCCTGGCTCTCTACAGGTACTATGACTCACCCTGAGGGTGCCAGCCCCACCACCTCCTGCCGGCAGCTCCTCTCTCACTGTGTGCCCACAGGGCCGTGTACGGGCCCCGCGAGGCGGCCCTGGCGCTCAGCATGGAGCGGCACCGGCATGCTGGCCCCGCGGACATGGGGCTGGCCTCCCGTCTCTTCCCCATGGCCCCCGGCCGCCCCCCCTACGCCTCTGCCGTGCAGGACCTGCGGCTCATCCCGCTGGAGACCTGTCCCCGCAAGAAGCTGGAGTGCATCGGTGAGCGGGAGGGGACATGGGGTGGGGAGAACAGGGGGTGGCAGGGGACCCTGAGCACCCACCCTGTGCCACAGTGCGAGCCCTGCGTGGCATCTGCGAGTGTGCTGAGGAGTACTGCGGCGCCCGGGACCTCCGGACCCCCGCCTCGGCTGCCATGTGAGTGTGGGGGGTGCAGGGGCAGCCGGGCTCATGGCCAGGCAGAGCTGGGGGGAGAAAGAGAAGGGCAGGTGTGGGGCTGGGGGTTCCTGTGGCTGGTGTTGGAGCCCTGGTCCCTGTTGCCACCATGGCTGACAGTCCCCATTGTCCCAGTGGGGCGGACGACCTGCTGCCCATCCTGTCCTACGTGGTGCTGCAGACGGGGCTGCCCCAGCTGGTCTCTGAGTGTGCTGCACTGGAGGAGTTCATCCATGAGGGGTACGTGCTGGAGGTGCTGGGCCATGCAGGCACCCCTGGGCTGGGGCCACTGTCACCCCTCCCAGGACAGGGCTGCTGGGGTGGGAGGTGTGGGGAGGGGACATGGGTGGGAGCGGCAGCTCCTGTGAGCATGGGGCTGCAGAGTGGTGGCCATGGTGGTGTGGTGGCTGTGATGGTGTCCTGGCCATAGCAGTGCCCCAGCCATGATAGGACAGTGGCTGTCATGGTATCCCAGCCATAACAATGTCCCAGCTGTGGTGGTGTCCTGGATATGATGGCACAGTGGCTGTAGCAGTGTGGTGGCCATGGCAGTGTCCCAGCCATGATGGCATGGTGGTGCTGATAGTGTAATGGCCATGATGGTGCAATGGCTGTGTGGTGGCTGTGATTGTGTCCCAGCCATGGCAATGTCCCAGCTATGATGGTCCGGTGGTGCCAGTGTCCTGGTGGTGCCAGGTACCCGGTGTCCCGTTGGTGACAGTGCGGCGGGTTATGGGTGCAGGTACCTGATCGGGGAGGAGGGGTACTGCCTGACGTCCCTGCAGAGCGCCCTGTCCTACGTGGAGTCCCTGCAGTGAGAAGGGGGCGGCGAGGGACCCCCGACACCGCCGGGCAGGTGCTGACCGCCCCCAGGTCCTCCTGGCCGGGGGGGGGGCGCTGTCGCGCGGGTCAGCCCCGCCCCGGGGGCGGAGCCACGGGCGGCACGCGCGTTCCGGGCCGGGGGCGCGGAAGGGGAACAGGAGCGCCCGGGACCGGCAGGTGGCGGGACACCGGGACCGGGGGAAACCAGGGCCGGGGTGGGACACGGCGAGTGGCTGTGAACTGGGACCGGGGGCTGGCGGTGCACCGGGACCGGGGGAACTCGGGCCAGGGTGGGACAGGGGGGTAGCTGTGAACTGGGACCGGCAGGTGGCGGGGCACGGGGACCGGGGGGAACCAGGGCGGGACACCGCGGGGGGGCTGTGAACTGGGATCGTGGGCTGGCTGGGGGAAGCGGGGCCGGGGGGCGTTCGGCGGCCGGAGTCCCGGTGCTGAGGCTTTATCTGGGTGTCCTCACAGGCTGGGAGGGTCTAACGGGTCTGGGTGCGGGGCCTTCAGGGTCTGGGGTCTCAGGGGCCCTGGGGTGCCAGAGCACGGGGGTCTCCCAGGCTTGTGTGCGGGGTGGGGTCTCACGCTGCGGTACCCTCAGGATGTGTGCAGGCTCGGCGATGCGGCAGGAGCTCCGGCAGGAGTTCCACGAGGAGTACCGGCGGTGCCTGGAGCGGTGGCTCGGCCCCGCCGGGCCCTGCTCGGACCCTGCGGTGGCGGAGCGGCTGCGGCAGCGGCTGCGGCGGGAGCCGGCGCTGCTTGGGGCCCTGCAGGAGGACGGCCCGGCCCTGCTGATCCGGGGGCTGAGGGGCCACCCCGACCCTGGGCTGGCGCTGCGGGGCCTGGCCGGCGCCTTCCGGCTGCTGGAGATGGCGGCCCTCAACCTCTACCTCTTCCCCTGGCGCCGGGAGTTCGGCACCATCCAGGTGAGCCCCGCGGTGATGAAGGGATGCTTTGGGAGTCCCTTGACACCTCCAGCCCTGCCCCTCGTTCTCCCTGCAGACCTTCTCTGGCGCATTTGTGCACCTGTTGCGCCCAGCGCTGCCCGAGGCTGACCTGCTGCGGAGTCTGGGCCGTCTGGGCTACGAGCGGCGGGACCAGCACCACCTGGCCGTGACCCAGCCACCCCCGGGGCCAGAGCTGATCGCGGCTGCCGCGGGGTTCCTGTGCTGCCGGCTGGAGTGTGAGATCCTGGGGGAGCTGGTGCAGCAGCTGCAGCCATGCCAGCCCCGCGCCGAGGAGCTGCTGGAGGCACGACACCAGGCCAGGGACGGCCAGAGCTGCCCGGAGCTGCTGCAGGACCCGGGGATACAGTATGGGGCAGCTGCTGACTGTGGTGATGGCGTGGATCTCTACCAGGACACACGGGACAGCTCCGAGGACACAGGGGGTGCGGACAAAGCCCCTTTAGCGCAGTGGAGGGACCCTCAGGACGTGCCTGTGAGGGGCTGGGGATGCTGCAACGAGCCAGAGCCTGTGGGCAGTGCTGAGCTGGACACCTCTCACCTCTTCCCGGAGCAGGAGCTCACAGGGGGCAGCAGAAGCCCCCAAGCGCTGGGGGAGCCCCAGGACACCCCAGAGCTGCCTTGCTACCAGCTGCACTCGTGCCTGCGCCGGGGCACACTTCCCTCATACTGCTGCAGCACCTGCCGGCAGCTGCATGCCGGGGGCTGTGCCGCAGGCCACGCCTGCCGCAGCCAGCACCGCGGGCAGGAGCTGCGCGGGGAGCGCCAGCAGCGGCTCTGGCTGCAGCGCACAGAACTGGACATGCTGCTGGCCGACAGCTCCAGATCCTGCTCCTAACGCTGCTGCTGGCCGACAGCTCCAGATCCTGCTCCTAACGCTGCTGCTGGAAGGGCACAGGAGGGGCATGGCCCCTGCCTGGCCCCTGCAGTGGGAACAGGGACAGCCACTGCTTGGCACAAGGACACTGGACTCGTGAACCCCCTGAGATGGCAGTACCTTTTGCTGGGCTCCAGGAGGACAAGGACAGGCCCTGCTCTAGCCCTGCCACTCCCACTGTAAATGATTCCATGCATCAGTAAAGCAGCTGCCTCAGTGTGGGGAGCCTCCTGTCCTGGGGAGGGCTGACCTGGACACCTGGTCCTAGGGTAGGGACAGGGCCTGTGGTGACAGCCAACAGTGTAGCTCCCAAGGAGCAGCTCCTGCCTCCCCCAGGGGTGTGGGGCCAGTATCCACATAAAGGTGGGCCGAGCCTGCGGTGTCACACAGGTGTCCTCATGCTAAGGGTCTCCTTGTCCCCAGGGAGGGATGTGGGGCACACAGGAAGCATAGCAAGGCCATAACTTCTCTCAGTGCCTCTGGCACCAAGGCATGAGGCCATTCACTCCCCCTGTTGCTGCTGACACGTTTTTATTGACAGCAAAGTTGGGGTTCCCACCACAGGCAGCACTGGCTGAGCCTGCCATGGGATAGGACTGACCCTGCCAATCATGGAGGGCTCCAGGCCCTGTCTCTCTGCTCTCCTTCCTCTGGTGCTGTGCTCCCCCAGCCCAGACTGGAACCTGCCAGTCCCCCGCAGGGAAATGGATGCAGGAGGTGTGCCAGTAATGGAAGGAGCCCACAGTGCTAGGGCCATTGGGCTGAGGGAAGATGTCCCAGCTGGCCCACGCTGTGCCTGCCCCACAAATCAGCTCAGGGCTTGCTACGCTTGGCCTGGCTCTCTGGCCCCGTGGCCGCTGCCCGCTTGTTGCGGTGGTGTGGGAAGGTGGGCATCAGCTCCGGCTCACAGGCTGTGGGGCACACAGGGGGTCAGCAGGGCCTAGAGCCCCTCAGCCCTGCCCCAGGAGGGGGGTACTTACGCAGGGGCTTCTCCTTGAAGTAGGAGCTCTCCAGGCAGTCCTTGGCCGTGGCTCTGTGGCGGACAAGGGAATGTGACAGGTACCCCCACCCTAGCCCAGGAGACAGGTTCCCTGCCCTGCTTGGCTCATACCTCTTCTTAGGATCATACATGAAGAGGAAGTTGAGAAGGCGCAGCCCAGCCTCCGACAGCCACGGGAATCTGTGCTTCAGGTTGTTGTAGGGCTGCTTCCGCAGGGTGTACTGGCTGGCCAGGGGCAGCTTGGAGAAACCCTGGGGGAGTCAGAGTGTGAGGAGGGGGCAGGGTGCAGGCAGGGATTAGCAGGGAGAGTAGGCAGGACTGGCAGGGAGCTCTCACTGGCCAGATGTTCTCATTGGGCGTGCCCAGCAGCTGCACGATGAGGTCAATCTGGTGGATCTCAGAGGTGCCTGGCAGCAGTGGTTTGTGTGCCAGCAGCTCAGCCAGGATGCAGCCTACAGCCCTGAGGAGCACACGAGGAGTTCCCCATTAACCCTCCCTGGTTTGCAGGTCCCCCAGCCCCTGCCTGGGCAGCCCCCTTACCACATGTCGATGCTGGTGGTCTGGGTGGTCATGCCCAGCAGCAGCTCCGGCGCGCGGTACCTGTGCAGGGGACGCTCCGTGGCAGAGCCGGCCCCGCTGTGAGCCGCCCCCGCCCTGCTGGGGGGACTCACCCCTCGCACAGCCACTCACCACAGCGTTACCACTTTGGGGGTCATGGGCTTGGGGGGCATCCCATAGGTGCGAGCCAGGCCAAAATCAGCTGCAACAGAGACTCCGGGTCAGGAGGGAGCTGAGCTCTGAGCTACAGCCACGGCACGGAGCAGATGAAGCTGCCAGACTCACCTATCTTTACACAGCCCTTGTCAGTCATCAGCAGGTTGGAGACCTTCAGGTCCCTGTGGGGCACAGAGTGGCTGCTCAGCACCATCCTTGGCATGGCTCCTCTGCACCCCGGAGCCAAGCCATGATGAGGAGAAGAATCCCATCATTCCAGGGCCTCCCTGCCTTGCCGGTGCTGCCACATGGAGCCACTGATGGGCACTAAACCCCCACCTGGAGCTGCTCCGTCCCAAGCTGTGTGAGGTGCCCCCCAGACATCCCCTTCCCCCACCAGCTCCATCCTGCCGCTCCCACCTGTGAATGATGTAGTTCTCATGGAGGTACTGCAGGCCCTTGAGCACTTGCAGGATGATACACTTCACCTATAGGCAGAAAAAAGGAGCTCCAACCTCTGTGGGAGCATCCCCATCTGGGAAAACCCCTGGAGGTCAAACCCACTGGGGTGTCCTGTGGCTCCTCCATCCCTGTGTCCTCCCAGGGGGTTGGGGGGGGCATTTTCTCCCAGCTCTGTTTCCCTGCTAGTCTGTTCCACCCCAAAATCCAGGCTGGAAAGTTCTTGGAGGCTTCTGTGAGAGCCCAGGCTCCTTCAGAATCCATGGAGTCCCCCAGCACAAGGTCCACGCAGCCCCCTGCGGTGGCCGGGGTGTTTTGGTCAGAGTAACAGCATTCTCTCAGGGCTGCTGCACCCAAATCCTGTCCCACCTCATACCTGAGCCTCTGAGAAGGGTGTCTGCATGTTCTCCAGGAGGCTGGCCAGGTCCTGCTCACAGTAACCCATCACCAGGAAAATACTGTCAGAGACAAGACGCACTCAGAGCTCCCCCAGGACAGGTCTGTGTGCTGAGGGGGCTCAGGGGCCTGAGGGGAGGGGGGGGGCCGGAGGGCACAGGGAGGACAAGAGAGGGGACTCTTTGGTCTCACCTCTCCAGGTGGTTCCCTACAACCACCTCCTTCAGCTCCACGATGTTGGGGTGCCGGAGCTGCAGGAGCAGGGTGATCTCTCGCAGGCTGCTGATGGGCATTCCTGTGGGGAGGGAGGAACAACTGCTTCAGGACGGCTTGGAGCCAGAGCCGGAGCTGCGGCAGCCCCTGTTCCCCTGCTTCCTTCTGTACCGTCTTTCTCGTTGTCCATCCGCACCTTCTTCAGCGCCACCGTCTCGTCTGTCAGTGTGTCCCGGGCGCGGTCTGGGGGCAGCACAGGACACGCACAGGCGGTTTGTCCCGACGGCCGCTGAGGAGCCGCCGCAGCCTCGACCCCCCCAGCCCAACGCGCCCCCGCGGGGGTGGAACTGGGTGGGCTCAAGGTCCCTCCCCACCGCAACCGCGCCGCGATTCTGGGAGGGGCGACGGCTTCTCACTCACACACGATGCCGTACGTGCCCTCTCCGATCCGGTTCAGCTTCTCGAACTCCTTCACGCTGCGGCAACGGCCCAGCTGGAACCAAAGAGCCGCGTCCAGGAGGTGCCGCCCCGGGGGCTCCTCACCGGGCCCCCCCCCGCGCCCTCTCACACCCCGGGGGACCCGGTGCTCTCACCCGGTCGGCGGCCGGCACCTCGAAGAAGCCATCGCCGCGCAGGCGGCGCAGCCGGAGCGGTTCCAGCTCGGGCTCGGCCGACGCCGGTCCCGGCTCAGGCGGTCCCGGCTCAGCCGCCGCCATCGTATCCGCCATGGCGGAGCCCACTAGGGCGCATGTGCTGTGTCTCTTGAGTCTGGGTAGGCCCCGCCTATTCACGTTACCCCGGCAACGGTTGCTCGGGAGGGACCAATAGCGGCCTTGTCTGTACGTGGCCCCGCCCCTCTATAGTCCCGCCCAGTGACTACTCGTCCTACTTGGACCCCGCCCCCGATCTATGACCACGCCCCGATGTATGTCCACGCCCGTGATTAACCACGCCCATCTGCACATCGACCACCCCCCAACCTACATGATTCCGCCCCCTCCTGTCTGACTCCCCTCACGCTCCCGCGGCTTTGTTGCTCTCGCGAGATTAGGCTCGCGACCCCCGGAAGCGGCGGTGCGGATCCCGGAAGCGGCGGCGGAACCCGGAAGCGGCGGCGGGACAGGATGGACGGTACCGGGGGGCTGGGCCGTACCGGGGGCTCCCGGGGGGGCTGTGGCTGTGCCTGAGGGCGGGAGGCAGGAACCGGGACCGAGGGCCGGGACGGGGTGGTGGGGCTCCGGTTCCCCGGTACCCCGCTGCCCCAGTCCCGGTCGTGTTGCTGACGCTGTGCTCTCCTTCCCTTCCAGACACGCTCTTCCAGCTGAAGGTGAGGGCACAGCGGCGGCCCCTCCTCCTCCTCTCCGTCCCGTGTCGCCGGTCCCGGAGCCGGTTTCACCGCCGGATCGGCCTCATCGGGGCTCCTCCTGCGGTGGGACCGTCACGGGAGGAGCCTCGGCCCGTGGGAGTGTCCGAGGGTGCCGCGGACAGAGGGTCGGGCAGCCGAGGCCGGTGTGACGCTGCCTGGCTGGGCCAGGGGGCACTGGACTTGGGACACGGGAGGATGGTTCCCACTCCAGAGGGGGAGGGGGTGGGATATGGGAAGAAATCCTGCCCTGGCACAGGTTGTCCAGAGAAGCTGTGGCTGCCCCGTCCCTGGAAGTGTCCAAGGCCACTTGGATGGGACTTGGAGCAACTCGGGATAGTAGAAGGTGTCCCTGCCCATGTAGGGGTGGGACTGGATGGGCTTTGAGGTCCCTTCCCACCCAACGCGCCCCATGACTCTGTCCCTGTTTTCCCCAGTTCACAGCAAAGCAGCTGGAGAAACTCTCCAAGAAGGCCGAGAAGGACTCCAAGGCTGAGCAAGCCAAAGTAAAAAAGGTGAGTAGGGGCCCATCCTGGGGGAGCTCAGCTCCATGGAGGTGGCTGGAGATCCCCCCTCCTGCCCTGGGGGGATAGGGAAGGGGCCAGTCCCCTCCCCACCTTACACTGTATCTGATTGGGGCACGTGGCACATCCAGCAACACCAGGAGGGCTTTAATTCCTGACTCAGGGCATTCCCAGCTCCTGGGAGAGCTGCTCCCTGCCAGGAACTCCCCGCTGTGGCGGTTTGAGGCTGGGGGGGATCTCTGAGCAGGGATTCTCCGTGTGCCAGGCCCTGCAGCAGAAGAATGTGGAGTGTGCCCGGGTCTACGCTGAGAATGCCATCCGGAAGAAGAACGAGGGGCTCAACTGGCTCCGGATGGCGTCCAGGGTGGATGCTGTGGCCTCCAAGGTGCAGACAGCCGTCACCATGAAGGGGGTAAGAGCCCCGGCGGGGTCTGGCGGTTCAGGATGGAGCTGTACCCACATGGAGCTTCCCCTCTCTGGAGCTGCCCCCAAACACCTTGGGCTCCCCTGTCCCCCAGAGTGATCCCACCAAGCCTGGTGGGCTCAGACCCCCTCAGCAGGTTCATCCCATCTGGGAGGGCCTCACAGCAGGGCTCAGATTCTTCCATAGCCCTTGGGGCAGTCCTGAAAAAATCTGCTCTTGCAGGTGACAAAGAATATGGCTCAGGTGACCAAGGCCTTGGACAAGGCCCTGAGCTCCATGGACCTACAGAAGGTGTCAGCAGTGATGGACAAATTCGAGCAGCAGGTGCAGAACTTGGATGTTCACACGTCGGTGAGTGATGGGGGGACAAGGGGACAGGGAAGGTGGGATGGGGGTGGGATCCTGGTGGGATCCCCAACGGGTCTCAGGCTGGAAGAGCTGTGGAGGGTGACAGGGCTGTCTGTGTCCCAGGTCATGGAGGACTCCATGAGCTCTGCCACCACGCTGAGCACGCCGCAGGAGCAGGTGGACAGCCTGATTGTGCAGATCGCCGAGGAGAACGGGCTGGAGATCATGGACCAGCTGAGCCAGCTGCCCGAGGGGGCCTCGGCCGTGGGGGAGAGCTCTGTACGCTCCCAGGAGGACCAGCTGTCCCGGAGGTTGGTGCTGTCCTGGCTCCTGGGCACCTCCAGTCTTTCCAGGGATCCCTCACTGGCACGAAGGGAAGGAGTTGGCCCATCCCAGGGGGCTGAGGGGGCTGAGCCCCCCTCCCTCGTGCTTGGGAAAGTTCCCAAGGCTGTGGGGCCACTGTGGCCTGGGGTGGGGGTGGCTTTGGCACTGGGCAGTGAGTGGGAGAGGGGCAGGACGAGTGGAGAAGGGTGGGACAGACCCCCCCCCCCCCAGCTGCATGCTCACCCTCAGGTAGTTGCTCTGCTCAGGGATTGCTTGACACTGCCCTGTAAATGGCTCTGGAGCAGCTGCTCTGCCTGGAACTGCCCCCGCAGGAGCTGCTGAGCTTCCTTTCCTGCCCTCAGCATCACGGGCCCATCTGGGCACAGTAGTGGGGCTGCGGTGTGGGGACAGTGCAGGGAGAGGGACAGGAGTGGGGACAACCTGGGGGCAGGGACCAGAACAGTCCTTGGGGAGGGACTGAGAGAAGAAGAGGGGTTAGGGATCTGTTCTGCATGGTGCCTCTGCGGTGTCCATGATGGACACCCCGAGTTCACTCTCGGCCACCGTGGCTGCGTCTCCAGGGCAGGATTTCTGGGAGGTTCCCAGGCAGATCCGGGGGACACACCCGAGCCGTGGCTGTTCCTGCTGCTCTGACTCTCTCCCCCTCCTGCTCTCCCATCCAGGTTGGCTGCCCTGCGGAACTGAGGCTCCTGCGGCCCCGGCATCGCTGGAATGGCTGCGGGGGGAGGGGCCGGGACCCCCTCCCGCTGCCGTCCCCACCCCCTGCCTTGGGACTGTTCCTCGGGGGGTGACGGCCCTTCCCAGGCAGGCACCAATCCTGGCAGGGCCGAGGAACGCTTCGCTGGGGCTGATTTATGGGGGGTTTGATTTGGGGGGTGCTGCTGGTGCCTGGCAGCGCCCTGTGTCCCGCTGCTGATGGAACACTAAGGGGTCTCTCCTGGTCTCAGGGTGCTGCTCCTCAGCTCCTCTGATGTTCCCTGTTCTGGGGCTGTGCTGTGAGTTCCCCGGGAGCCGTTTGGGAGGAGCAGGGAGATCCCCGTGGGGCTCCCTGTCCCCCACAGCACTGTGGGAAGGGCCCTGTGCCCGGCTGTGGGTCTGGGGAGGTTGGTGCCTTGCAGAAAGGGGCGGTGACACCATGGAATCCCTTACCTACCGGTCGCTGTCCCCATGTCCCACTGGGCCAACACCCCCCAGCCCCATACCACAAAGTGCCCTTTGGAGCACCCGCCTTGCCCAGTCCTGTGCGTGTCAATCCACATATTCCCCAGCCACTGCCAGCTGGAAGTTATTATCCTGGCCCTGACCTCTGGTTTGGACCAGTGAGGACACACATCCAGCACTGGGAGCGGATTGCAGCAGCTGTGGTGGCTGCAGACACATCCCCCAATGTCCCCCCCCACCCGATGGGTGTGACTGGGAATGCTGAATCATCCCAGAGCAGCTCTGCCTGGCTCCCTATGCCTCGTGCCTGGATATCTGCTGTCCCCTCCAGCTGCTTGCACTGGGCTGGGAGCAGGGGCTGCTCCCTGTGTGCCCTCTTGCTGCTCATCCCCTGTCATCTTCCCCTGGGGCTGGAGGTGTTTGTGCCCCTCCCATGTGACCCCTGGCACTGCAGAGCTGCTGGATTGCTGGAAGCACTCCAGGAAGGAAGCGCTGTTTCCTTTGGCTCTCCCAGGAGGAACTTTGACCTCTGGATGGGGAGGGGGCCGAGAGGGCCACAGGGTCACCTCCCCAGCACTTACAGCACAAGCACTTCCAGCTGCTCTGATTATTTTTCCTGAGTTGAGTGGCCTTGGCAGCGTGTGTCTGGTGACACGGAGCCTTCCTCTGTGCTGAGGAGGGGGTGGCTTTGATCTATGGCAGAGCGTTTGGATCTTGTGTCACCTCCTGATGGGCTGGGCAGGAAGCAGGGGGACCCCAGAGATTTGTGCCTGGCTCCTGCTCCCTTGCACGGTGTCTTCATGGGGCTGCGGGGCCCTGGACCTGCTCCCCCCTCCCTGGGCTGTGTCTCTGTGGTTTCCTTGGTGATTTTTTTTTTTAAGCTTGTCTCATTTGCCTTCTTTTTCCCCAAACCGTGTTCCTTCCCTCCCATGGTTTTAAATAAACAATCCCTGGACTTCCTCTGTGTGCGTTGGAATGCAGAGTGGGGACTGTGGTCCTGCCCTGGGACAGAACCCAGCGCCGAGGGGGTGCCCTGGAGCTGAGGAGAGCGAGAGGAAGAGGCTGCTACTGCTCCTTCTCCCACAGCCTCTGCCTATCCAGGAGTCAGGAAGTGGCTGGGGGTACCAGCTCTGGGAGTGCTGGAGGGGAAGGAAGGAGCCCCCCACTGCACCCTTGCAGGGACTCATCCCCGTCGTGTGCCCAAACCGGGGGGACTGGAGTGAGCAGGACCTTGGGAAGGCTGAGGCAGCTCGAGCTCAGCTCCCTTCCACAGCGGGGTTGGGTCGGCCCAGCTCCCTGTGCCGGTCCCTGGCCCTCGTGGGGACAAGCTGGGCTTTCCAACGGGATATCCTGGGATTGTCAGCCGGTGGCTGCCCCAGTGCTCTACACCCCGGTTCTGCCATCGGCACCTGCCCACAGGAGCCTCATGGCCGGAGATGGGGCTGCGGGGATGGTGGTGCAGCCTTTTGTGCTCCGATCCTTTCGCTGTTCCCGTCCCTTGCTGTACCCATCCCTTCTCCGCGCACGTCCGTTCCCCGTGCTCATCCCTTCACTGTTTCCGTCCTTTCCGCGTGCTCATCCCTTCTCCCTCCCTATTCCCCTCCCCGTGCCCGACCCCTTCCCATGCCGGACTGGCAGAGGGCTCTGTGCCGCAGCCAAATCCCGAATGCCACAGGAAGATGGCTCTACTTCTCCTGTCTGTTCTCCCGCCTCCGCTCCGAAAACAGGCTGTTCCCGAATGTGAGAGGAAATTGCTAAGGAGATAATTGAGTAGCCAATTAATTAACTAATGATTAATGGAAGCATCCTGCGGAGGCAGCGCTGCCGCCCTGGCCAGGTGTTGCCAGGATGTGTCACTCCCGGTGCAGTGATGGCTTCCGGGTGCCCGGGGTGGGCACCCACCGGGACCCCACTCCTGGTGACATGCCGCGGTGCCCCGTGACACGCCAGGGTGGCTCATCATCCCCAGCCAGGAGCCTGTGGGCGCTGGGTCCCCACAGGTCCCACACCGACAGGCACTGCTCGAGCCACGGGTTTATTTTGCGGGTGGTTCCAGCAGGAAGAGCTGCAGAATTGTGCCCAACCCGGCAGCCCGCGGGCAGGGTGGCAGGGCCAGGGTGGCAGCCGGGTGCTAAGAGAGCAGGGAGAGGAGCAGGGCCAGCGCCAGCGGCAGCGCCAGGGCTGCGGGCGGGAGCTGGGCTGTGCCGGCGCCGTTGGAGTATCCGTAGCTGGTCCTGCATGTCCTGTCCAGCTCCTCGAAGGCGATGGGTGTCTCGTGGGCAGGTGTGCCCTGCAGCATCATCTTCACCTGCCATGGGGACAAAGTGGGCTTCTGCTGTGAGGGGCAGTGCCCCACACAGGCCTGCCACCCCACACATCCCTGTGCCACCCTATGCCATCCCACACATGTCCATTCATCCCCTGCTCTGCGTGTCCCAGTGCCAAACCATGTCCCCATAAATCCCTGAATACCACGTGTCCTGATGTCCCCACCTGTCTCTGTTGACCCAGGTGTCCCCATGACCCAAATGTTCCCTGTGCCCCATGTGTCCCTATTCCCTATGTGCCCATGCCCCAAGTATTCCTGTTCCCCACGTGTTCCCATGCCCTGTACATCCCTGTGCCCAATGTACCCAGTGCCCCTTGTGTCCCCATGGCCCAAGTGTCCCTGTGCTTCCACTGTCCCCTTACCATGTGCATCTCAGTGCTCCCCAGGCTCCACTCACCTCCTCCACCTTTCTGAAAACCCGGAGCAGGTTCTCAGCCAGGGCCAACTTCACCTCCTCCTCTGTCCAATTCCTCGCCAGCAGCTCAGCCACCAGTGCAGGATACTTGGAGACATCCTCCAGGCCAGTAGGGAGCCTGTGCCACCCACAGCTCTCAGCTGGGCCACCCGTGCTCCCCCCAGCTATGTGTGCCCACACACATCCATCCATCCCCCATCCAATCCCACCAGCACAGCCCATCCTGCACCCATCACCCCCTTTACCGTGTGACCCCGTCGTAGTCCCCGCCAAAGCCGACAGACTGGGCACCAGCCACCTTCTTCACATAGTCCATGTGGTCTGAAAGCACGGGGGGGGTGAGGTGAGTGGGGCAGGGGCATCGCTGCTGCCCTCCCACCCACCCAGACACCATCTCACTTGCTACATCAGTCAGTGTGGCTGTGTCCTTGCAGGTCACATAATCGTTGTAGAAGTTGACCATCACCAGGCTGCCCGTGGAGGCCTAGAGGAAAGAGTCCTGAGCCCCACAGCCCCCTACAGCCCTCCTTGGCCCCCGGTGTCCCCTGCCCTGTCCTGCCGTCCCCTGGTCGTGCCCTCCGCTTACCACCATCCGCAGCACATCATCAGGCACGTTGCGGCGGTGAGGGCAGAGGGCATAGGCAGATGAGTGGCTGAAGATGACGGGAGCTTTGGAGATGTTCAGCACAACCTTCATGGTATCCACCGAGACGTGGGCCAGGTCCACAATCATGCCCAGGCGGTTCATCTCCTCCACCACAGTCTGCAGGGACGGGGACCAGGATGGGGGCAGGGATGAGGGTGTGGAGGGGTGCATGGGAGGGTCCCCTGGGAGTGACCTGTCCCCAGCCTATAGCTGAAGCTGTTTGGGTGGCTTTTGGCAGATGGGACAGATGGGTGTGGGGGTGGGTGGATAGATGGATGGAGAAGGGATGGATTATGGATGCACCCAGGGCAAATCACCCAGCTGGTGGGTGCCAGTACCATGTCCCCCATCAGCCACTGCTCCTGGGCACTGCTGCCAATGCTGTTCCTCACCTTCCCAAAGGCTGAGAGGCCATGGTGCACTGGTTTCTCCTCCTTGGTGTCCACCAGCCAGTTGTCAGCCCTGTGGATCAGGGAGAGCATCAGGTCAGCTCCCTGGCCACATCCCCCCGTGCCATCCTGGTTCCCCATCCCCAGAGTCCTACCAGGGGGTGTTGCAGCTGTGGGTGAGGGTCATGTAGCGCACGCCCAGGTGGTAGAAGGTGCGCAGGACCCCCAGGCTGCTGTCGATGGAGTGGCCGCCCTCCACCCCCATGAGACTGGCCACCTTCCTGTTCTGGAATGCTTGCTGGAGGCCTGTGGAGGACGGGGGGCATCAGTTGGGGTGGGCACAGAGCACCAGCACCTCCAGCCCCCCGTGCCCCAGCCCCATGCCCCCTCACCAGCACTGTCGGTGACACAGGCGAAGGCCTCTGGGTACAGGTCGCACATGCGCTGCACCACGTCGATCTGCTCCAGCGTGCGCTTCACTGCGTCCCTGTTCTGCGTCTCACAGGGCACATACACGGACCAGAACTGCCCAGGCACCACATGAGCATGGGGACACAGACCCAGGACCGCTGCCACCCACCTCGGTGCCCTTGCCCACCCCAGTGCCCACCTCAGTTCCCCCCCGCAACAGTCCCGGTGCCTTCCCCAGTGCCCCTGCCCACCCCAGTGTCCTCCCCAGTGCCTCCTGCCTGACCTGATGTCCTCCCCAGTGCTCTCACCAGTATCCATGCCCACCCTGGTGACCTTTTCCCACCCTGGTACCCACCCCAGTGTCCTCCCCAGTGCCCTCTATCCACTCCAGTGTCCACCCTGGTACCCACCCCATTGTCCCTGCCCATCTCAGTGCCCTTCCTGGTGCCCCTGCCCACCCCAGGGCCCCCTGCCTCCCCAGTGCCCTCCCCAGCGTTCCTGTCCACTCCATTGCCCCCTGTCCTCCCCAGTGCCCTCACTGGTGACCCTGCACATCCTGGTGCCCCCTGCCCTCTCCAGCACCTGCCTCAGTGCCCTCCCCGCCCCCCCGTTTCATCCCACCTGCCCGCCCACGTGCCCGAGGCGCAGTTTGGGGATGTTGGTATGGGTGTCATTCAG